GCCACAATTCAACTTGGATTGGAGGATTCAACGGTTTTCATTCCTGACCTCCCTCTGTGTCATTCCAATCTTGGAGTGAAACTTTTCCAATAATCAAACATTTCATTGATTCAAAAACCTTGTCTGGATGATAAGCTTCAATTTCATCAGTCACATCACGTCCTACAAAATCCAAAATTGCTAAGTCACCACCAGAGTGTTTTTTGAGCCACAAGTTTGCTTATAGACATAAGATTTATGAAGCACACTAAAAACCATTGATCAGGATACATAGGACCTTTGATCAGGTTAAAATCAATTTTGGTAATTTTTGGTTCACACTCAAAGCTTGTTCAACAGATTGAGGATCCAAGTCAAGACTGAGCCACCCAAGCACATTGAAGTGTAGCTAAACAACCCACTAATACTATATTGTCTTCTGGAGGTTTATCTACTAAAGCTAACAAAAGTAATAGAGGTTTGAAAAGTGATCCGACTAATTTATCAAGCAAATCATTAACCTTTCAGCTGGGAGATATTTATACCGTAGTCAACCGTAGTGACTACGGGTTTTGTCGCGGATATCGTAACGTAATGTGCCCGCAATCGTAATCAGGACCGTGACCAGATTTCCCTACCAGGCATTTTGGTACAGAGACACCGTAGTGTTTAATGGCCAGTCGCGATACGGTGAGGGCCGTACCGTACCGTACCACTGACCGTAGCCATCACGCTGAGGTCCGAGCGTTGCCGACAGTGGCGGTAACAACTTGACTATGGCTGCTGAACTCGAATCAATGTTTGCAGCAGCCGAAGAATCTGTCACCTGGGATAGCAAAACTCATCATGTGCAATGTTACGCTCACAAGCTCAACCTCGTGGTTGGGCACAGTCTCAAAGCTTTGGGACAGAAGGTCGGTTATGCAAAACCCTCTATACCACTTGGTGTGCCTCTTCCCACCCCTGGTCTTGAGATCAACGACGGTGAGGACTCTGTCAAGTTCCACAATTCCAATGCCAAATCCAAATCCAAAAATGGATTACCAGAACAGCCCAATGGTGTTGATGACGACATTGGTGATCAAGACAAAGACGAAGATGGGATTGTGGCTTGTGATCAAGATGATGTGGTCGCTGTTTCCCTCCAAAAGGTGAATTTTCTTTTTTGAAAGTTCAGTTTGTTATTATACTTACTACTCTTGTTTTAAATCAGGTTGACACAGTCTCCGGACAGATTGCAAGTAGTGCAGCGCAAAGAAACAATTTCAAGACACGCGCAACTCATCTGGGATACAAGGGTCAAATGCTGAAAAGGCCTTGCAAGACTTGTTGGAACACTCACTACGAAAGTTGAAAGCTTGCTTGTGAGGCACAGGAGGTAGGCAATGTTGTATTATTATCCTACTAATCATCCCTTCTCTCATATTTTTCCATCTTCACAGGTAATTAACTCAATGATTGCAGCGGATCAAAAAGCCTGTTCTTTCAAAGGTGTCACAATTTCAGCTTCAGAGTGGCATGCTGTTGAAATGGTGAACAAAGTTCTTGAGGTATGTTTTTTCTCTTATACTTTGTTTTATTGTTTTGACCTGCTTTACTTAGCAATTTGAATTTTATGAACTTCTAGACTTTTGTCAAAGCCACAGCTCGAGTAGAGGGAAATGGCCCCACTGGCTGCATCTTATTGGCTGAGTACAAGCGGGTGATCAACGAGCTCAACCAATATCAAGCCGAAGCCTCCTTGTTCCCAAGCCTGGACAACGCCATCAATGTTATGATCATGCCCCTAACTGAATACCAAGACGAAGCTGTAGACTGTGAGGCGGTTGTGCTCTCAACAATCCTCAACCCCCAATTTTCCATCCAAAACACAAAGACTCATCTCAGATTCTTATTGAGAATGCATTCACATTGGTTGCTGAGACATGAAGCTTCACGAGCCCACCCCACCACCCAAAGATATCCACGAGTCTGCCGAGCCTGATGAATATGATGTTTTTGGTACTTCAGGTAGAGGTCCAAGTAAACCTTTGACCACAGAGCTGGAAGATTATCTACAGGGTCAATTCCCTATCAGAAGAGATCAAAGTCCTCTACAATGGTGGAAGGTGATTATATTTCTACTACTTGTTCTCATCCTTTCTGACCTGCCTGACTAACAAATTTATGATTTACAGGAACACAAAAGCCATTTCCCTATTCTTTCACAACTCGCCCGCGATTACTTATTTATTTCAACCACCTCTTGTGCATGCGAGCGGACTTTTTCCGCTGCCGCCGATGTGTGTACCCCTTCAAGAGGGAGTATGCTACCCAAGACTATGGAGCGCCTTGTTGGCTCTCAAGCCTTGTTGAAGGAAGGTGTTGTCCCTGAAGGAGCGTTTGAAGAAGCTGCCAATGCACTTCAATCCTACATGGAGGCAATGGTAAAAAAGCCCTGATAGGCTCTTCCTTTTCCATTTATTCAAAAAGAAAAGTCTGAATTGTTCCTCCTATACAAGGTTATCTTTCCTCATACAACTTTATCTTTCTTACTCAAGACTTATCTCTCAATTTATTTTCTGTCTTACTCAAGACTTATCTCTCATTTTCTGTTCTATACCCGTGCTTCTTTATAAATGTTTTGTTTCCTCTTGCTTGTATGTCTTTTCTTTCTGAAGGCACCTATATCTTATCTACTTGGCTTTTTTGAAATCAAATCTTAACCTTTGAATGTGCGCTATGTCATGTTATAGCGCATATAGCTATAGGCGCGCTACATAGCGAAAAAATTGTGATCTTTCTGCACCGATAGATTGCGAGGTTTTTTTTGCCTCACGTAGCAACTTCTGTGCGGGGCGGTTCATAGTGGCCACTCCAACACACAATGAAATTGGGTCAAATTTCATTGCGTTTTGGAGCGGTTCGGGTATTGACTCTCTGACCTATATCATAAACAACTTGATTAGAAAAGACAAAACATTCGATAATGAAACTTGGTAAGCATTATTAAGTACCTATTATAAGGCACAAGGTTATGAGGTTATGGATTAGTTTATGAAGTTATTGACTTTAGATAACTGATCTTTGATCAGATGAAAGAAACAATGAACTAGATAAAAACATAAAGAAACATAATTAGAAATATCATTAATACTACTATCTATATTGATTTGAAACTAAAGTTAAAAATGACTTACTTCTCTTTCCCAAAGATGGGGAAAGAGAAGTGAACTGAATTGATCTAAGAGTATTATAAGTAATCAGTAATTTCAATTCATTGGGGCAACTAATGATGTAATTCTCCTTTCATTTGATTTCAATATTCTGTTAATCCAATTTCTCTCGTAAATCCTTTTCACTAATTTGATGTTCACCGTAATGTCGATTGCACACTTCAACAAGAAGTTAACATTGAAAGGTACCATCAGTCAATGTTTAAACTACAAAAAGATGAAAACTGGGAAAAACTTGTGGGGAAAACTGACTAGTAGTATATGGGGTTGACTGACATAGTTTTGAGGTAATGTAAGGAAAATGACAATAGAAGCGCCCATTGATCAAGTCTGATTTCAGAAATAAAGCTGGGGAAAAGTGATAAGACTAAAAATGTTATGCTACATAATCAATCACAAGAAGAATAGAAGACTGAGAGAAGGTTCTAGTTAGTGACTAGTGTGATAACAATCACAGTGACCAATAGAAGGAAGCATGAGCAAACCTGCTTGTAGTGTAAGAGTAAGAATTGGTAAAGAGAAAAGGAATGCAAACAACAATGTGAGAAGTCTAGTCCTTATATACCAATAACACTACAAGAAGATCATTATGATTACTAACACCTGATGTCACACTTAGGCAGAATACATGATCATCAGACTATATAACCACACAGCACACAGCATGATCATAAGAAGATCTATAGATCTCAATTTAATCATCAAAGAAATTGGGTACACCACGGGGTAACTTTTCGTTGGAATACCATCAAAAAGTTGGTCGTGTTGAAATCTGGCCAAACGCTCGCCAAAATCCCAGCATTCGACCAGATTTTCGCTGGTACAGCTATACCAGCTGATTTCTGGTCGAAAGCTGGGATTTCGGCCAGATTTTGGCTGGTAGGCTGGCTGGTTGGTCTGGCAAGATATTGACCAGCCTTTTGGCGAGCAAAAGATGGTAAGATGATCTGTCTTCATTATAAACCGCCAACTCAATCCCGTGAAATTGAATTTGGGTTTGTGCACTTTCCTCCATAGCCGTGGTTCTAGCCACCCATTTTTATTTTGACAACACGAGAGCTCCTAGAATCCATTCTTTGGTCTGGGAGCTCTTCGTCATCTTCCTCACCATCAATGCCACAACCCACATGGGGTGGATGGCATGGCCATGGAAGGGAGCAAACAGGTTGAGCCAACCAGCTGCCCAATGATCGGCAGAGAAACTTCGCTCGGAAATGGTCTGTAGGCCGCCAGATGACTCATCTAACGGCGGTAAGCCGATCTCGCCGTTCGACCGCCGCGCCACTGACCATCTGGCGGCGGTGCCCCACCACCAAGCCTTTCTCGCCTTCGGATGGTATTCCATGACCGCCATCCGATGGTACGAATTACCCCGTGGTGTAGTATCAAGCGGAAAGTGACTTGATGGAAAGGCTTTGTGAGGTTAAATGATTCAACGTACGCTAGAAAAATGTTGAATCTGGCATGGATTCTGGATGATCACGGTGTAGTCATGGAGGACATTCATGCTAAGAGATTTCTCATTGATTATGGGTTTTTTAGAATCTTGGTTGCAATCTTACTCAAGATTCGATGAATGGCAATCAGATAGGTGGAAACTGCTATTGCGATTGATTCCGAAATAAAAGTTCCGCACCAAGGGCGGTCTTGGCAACTTGGCTATCAGCACAACTGCAGGGCTGCAAATTGTCCCCATTAGCTCAAGCAAAAGAGTCAAGTCTAGTCTGATGTTGATTTAAAATGAAATGGTGCATGTTCGTTTCACTCTACAAGTCGCAAGTCTTTCACAATACAATGATTCATCAAAAAAAAGTAAGATGCAATAATTTTTGTAATCCAGCAGAGCACGCCACTGGAAAAATCATCAGCTCAACAATTTCAGCTTTGATTACAATCAATCAATCTCTAGATCTTGGAGCTTGAGAAGAAAACAAAAAGAAGAAGACAAACAAAAAGATAAATATACAGAGTGTGGTAAGACAATCTTTACCCACAAACAACAAAGAAGATTGAAACCAGACATGCCATGCAACTGAAAACTAGGTAAAAATAAATCATCAACTTGCTACGTTGATCAGGTCGACAGCTAGCGTCTTTTCAAGAGTGCCGTCAAATGGAGAAAAGGCGATCTAATCTCTTCTTGTACGACGATCCCGGCTATTGAAAGAATCATAGGAATAAGTAACCATCACATTTTGTTTTACTTAGATTGGGACATACCTAAGATCGACAATAGGCAAAGTGAAGAAGCTAGTTTCAGCTGTCAACAAATTCGCCGCCGCAACATACCAAGCAATAAAGGCGGTGATTAAACCTATGCGTTCATGCAAGATTCAAAACACAGATGAGCATTATGTAGACGCCAAGTTGAAAAGTGACTTCCTTTGACTTACCAAGTACACCTCCGGCGTGGGTAATTTGAGTAGTTGCGGGATAAAATTTACCAACCTACAAAAAAGAGAGGTAAGATGGGGAACATCAATATCAATGATGAAACTCAAGGCAGCAATCATACTCACTGCTAATACTAGAAACGTGACGTCGAGAAAGAAGAACAGCGTGACGAGTGCTAGCGAAGACCGAAGGGAAGCAACGAGCATGATGAACTAAACCGCTCGAAGAAAAAAATCAGTACGGTGTCATGTGTTCAGCAAGAAAACTCAGACTGACGGTAAAGATAAACTGAAAAACAAAATTGAAAAGCAAACGTTAACAGATTAGTCGTCTTCAAACTCAGAGGGGAAAGAAGAGGGAAGAGAACAAACCCAAGTAAAAAGGTATAATCCCAAGGCATTCTCTAGTTGAGCTGTTCCTTCTGCACCCGTGTAAGCAGCTAGGATTCCAGATTGTGGCCAGAAGATGAGGCCAAAACTATGTGGATCGATCATCAGTTATGAGGATCCAATCAGAACGTGTCAAATGTTTCTGACCTGATCCAAAATCCACCTATAAGGACCAGCAACACGATTCAAGGCATGATCAGAGTTGTGCTTCCAAAGATACCATATGAGAAGGTGAGACACTTACCGTAAGAAGAGAAGGCAGTGGCCCCAAAAGTGTTACCTATAGAAATAATCGCAGGAGCTTAGAATTAATTGCGTACCGATAGAAAAGTGAGATAAGTGAAATTACCAGCAGCGAATTCCCACATGCCAGCCAATAACTGGACCAATCCACCTAAGAGAGAGAGAGACAAAAACCGAATCAGTCAAAACAAGAAGATAGATAGAAGACAGAGAGAGTAACAAACCATATCCCATTGCAAGACCAACGATCAAGTTGGGAGTGGTGATCCCTCTCGATTGCATATTGAAAAGGGATAAAAGAAAGGTAGTGGCCGCAAAGCCTGATCAAAGCAAAGAACGCATCAGAAAAAGTCAAGAAAAAGTTGTCGAAAGACCAACGAACCAGATAAGCCCAAAGGAGCCGGGTTGGCAAACTAAAGAGAACAAAAAGGGATTAGTAAACTTGTAAGAGAACAAAGACATATATAAAAGAAATGAATTTACCTTTCGATGATAGTAAGGAAAGGCCGGTTGAGAGTTCTCCATACCAGAAGTTGAGGTAGTCATGATTTGAGGATCTTTGCAATCTTCGTGGCTAGCCATTGATGTGTCTTTTTGATTTTGATTGATAGGTTTGGATTTTCAGAGTTGAAGAAAAGTGAGGCAGAAGGAAAGATACGAAAGATCTGGGTGAGTTCTTATGAAGATGAATCAGACAGATGGCGAAAATCGGTAAATGAAAATCGAGGATGACAATTTTAAAGTGTAGGCAACGATGGAGAAAGAACAACCAAAGGCAATATAAGGTAACCAAGTCAAGATATAGCTGGCTTATCAACGATTGATTTGTATGAAGATGAATCAGACAGATGATGAAGATCCGTAAATGAAAATCAAGGATGACGATTTTAAAGTGTAGACAACGATTGAGAAATAACCAAGAGTAATATGGGCCTCAAGGTAACGAAATGAAGAAGTATATGTATCCAGTTTATCAATGAATGATTTTGTGGAGAACAAGGAATCGATCCAATTGAACTCTATAGGAATGTGTGAAGCACCTGTGCTTTGAAGAGAAAAAAGATGATCTTGTGATATTTGAATTCAAGCAAAAGAGAAGTAAGGAAGTAAGGCGGTTTAGACTCAATTCAAGCTGAGGAAGAGATGTAAGCCCAGAGTGAGTGGGTCAAGAGAGATGAGCGTGAAATGTGAAGTTTGCATTTGAACAGATATGATATTCATATTGAAGTTTGAGACCGATGAACTCAATTTAAGCGGTCAAAGAGCGTTTTGCTTAGTATCAAAATACTCAATTTGTGAATGTTGGTAGCGAGATAAACCAAGAAGAAATGAGTAAGACAGAAAAAAGAAAGCAAAAGACCAAGAGACCAATTCAAATTTTACATGTATTCATCATCAACATATGTACTTCTCCTCAAGAAGATATCTTTAACTTGAGGATAATCATCACGCCAAGAAAATAGAATCGAGAAGACTTCAAAAAAAGTTATCTCCACTGACTTACAATTGGTAAAGTTGAGGTTTGATAAGATTTTAGAGATTGTGTTTAATGGAGGTAAGTTCTCTGATAAGATGATAATGGTAAATGAGAAGGTATAAAGTGAATAGTGTAATCGATTGAAAGACAGAGAAGATGAAGAATGATAAGAAAGTGAAGAACAAAAGGTAAAGAGAGCCAAAGATGACCTCCTTTTATATGATTTGAATGGTCATCATCCTCATTCATCATCATCATCATCATCCGGATCATAGACTCTAGTTACAGTTACAATTCCAAACTAGCAGCAGTTTGAGGAATTTTAATTCAGGTCAGGTTTCAAATCATTTTAATTCTAACTTGATTCCTGACTGTTTTTGACTCTTGACCTTTGATCGGAACCGACGAATGATCTATTTCAGGAACCAGACTCCAGAGTGGTGTTGAGATGTTACAATATGATGTCAAACAGGTCAAAGGTCAACACAACTCTGAGTCTGAGTCTGAGTCTAGATCAGTAACAAACAAATACAAACTCATAATCCCTTGATCGTAAGCCAGTCGTCATCAGATTATAGTCTAAAGATATATCTCATCACATTCACACTATGGGATTGTAAGCCATCTTGGCACACTATAACTAACTTCTACAAATATCCCCGCTCGAGCTCCGTCAGTTTTTTTAATTTACACACTGAGGATTTGTCTAATTGCAATATGTGATGTTGTATGGACTACGAAGTTTGTGATCAGTTTGTTATGAACTTGATGTTTGAATTCATATTCAAGCCTTCTCTTGTGCTATGTCTTGCTATGTGGTAAGTACAATGATAAATGCATATCTTTGATCGGATTGGCTTTTGTATGATTACCATAAAGAAAGAAAGGTGATTCAGAAATTATGTAAATTAAATCTATCAAATCCTATGGCATTCGCTTGGGATCATCAATGCAGCCACTTTTATTCAACTTCAATCACAGATCATTGAATTTGAATTCATCAAAAACCAAAACAATTCTTGAGGTTTCTTGCGCTTCACTTGATAAGATGATCTTTGATTTCATGCCGTTCATCAGCCAATGTCACTGCAGCACCGAGTCATCTGGTCAATCCTATATGGTCAAGTGAACCATAGACACAGCGAATTCTCACATGCCTCACTCCCGATGATTCCCTGTAAGATTGACTTTTATTCAAGTGATGATTCAATCATCAAAACTCATGGTGTCAATCAAGTTCAGTATCATTCAAAACATTCATTCATTTCTTCTCCTATGTTGTTCTTGAAAATTAGCATTCCAACAAACACTTTGTTAAGTTAAGTTTTCGACTGTGTTCTGCTTTTGATCATGCACTCATCTTATTGAATAAGTCTCGGTACGTAATTTTCCATGGAAATGTAAACTTCGAAGAAACAACAGAAAGATCCACAACGGACGTTCACCAATAAAGTTGTTTTGATACCACTCTAGATTGAAGGAAAGTTAAAATCTATCCAGCTGCTCTACTCGAAGCCAATCTTGTTGAAGTCAAAGGGGGTAAGATGGACATGAAGAAGTGGACAAAGAAAATGAAGAGAGAGAAAAAAGACCGCATGTATGGAGGAAGATGTTGATCCTGAAACGGATGTAGCTTATCATGAGCCCGCTGAGCAAATGGGAAATCCATACAAGTTTCCCATCTTTACAACTTGAATTTACCTTCAGCCTTTGACTTCAAAAAATCGATAACATTGCTTTGTCTTCAATACGAACCACTCCACAAAGTCATAAATCATCTTAACTGAGTTCATTTGACCAATTTCTCACTCTAGGTAAAAAAATTTATTGAAAAAGACTGAGCTTGTCATACGAAACATTTTTTCTATAAAGCTGGTGGTCAATTGGGTCTCATGTTCATTGACTGCTTCTTGAGCAATTTCTCGTTTAAATTTTTCTCATGAATATCTCAACTTGAGACTATGAGGATGACTATTCAAAAGCCTTTGACTACATCTGATAGCCCATTGGCATCATGGAAGATTTAAATTCATAAACGAATCCCCCACGTCCATCGTAATCCCCTTAACTGGGGTTTTGGTTATCGAATCTATGTATCATCCAGATGATCAAATCACTGGTCAAAGACTTATAATATGATAAACTCAGGTTGTCAAACAAAACGATCGGTTTTCTTTGTAAAACACAGCTTGTAGTTCTCAGCCAACAAAAAAAACTCTTCCTCAAATCTTACATTCGAATTCAGTTATCCTGAAGATTACCTCAGTAGAGGTCAAAAAAAAGTGAGTGAGTAGACAAAAACATGACCACCAAGGTGGTTGCGAAAGATTGGTAATATGGCATTTGTGCTTGATCCCCGGGTCTCCCTAGTAAAAGGCGAGGGGGACGTTCGAGTATGAGACCAAACACGCCATGACGTAATTCCCGTGTTTCAACGTACATATATCCCAAAAGGGTTAGTCGCGGGTTCGAATCTCTTCCGTTTCTCCCTCAATACTTTGGCTCAAAAAGATCACAATGATGAAGATTTGACAGTTTTGCATTGACATGAACCAAACAAGTTACAATCTTAAGACCTGATACATACATGAAGCACCTTCAGAAGTCAGAGTCATCGTCCATCATCGATATTTGTGTAACCTAAGCATGTGAACCCCTGGTAGTTGTTATCTACCCAAAGACGTTTGATTTGTTCAATACTGACCATATCTCAAGCATGTATGCGTGTCAAGCCAGCCTCGTGAAGTTATCAACTGGTGTGAACTACCAGGATTTTGGGCTCCTTCAATCACACTACAGGCGCATTAATTTCACTAAACCCTAAAGCTTAAACGATGCGAACAAAAATCAAAACAAGTTTGTCATAAACAATCAAGCTTTTTTTCTAAAACCTCTTTAAAAAAAAGCAGATGCCTAAATGCAAGAAGAGAAAAAACCCTTCAAGAAAAGTATAGATGTATTATTGTTTTTTTCGTTCAAAGGAAATGTAATAAATCAATTTCTAAAGTCGAACAAGGATAATCTAATTCAAAGTTTTTCAAAACATCAGGATGTAAAATTCCAAGTTGACCGATTTCAATGATTTCATGATTCGATGAACTTGAGATCGGTTTGAACATAATTTTAGCTGATCTACCTGGAAAGAATGTTGGATCTGTATGCAAACCAAAATGATGATGATGAGTTATTTTAGCAAGCTCCAGATAAGTCAATAGTCTAGGGTTCATGATGTTTTTCAAATGAAACGTCAAGGATTAAATGGAATAGCTAAATCACCTTCAGATTGTTCAATATAATATTCTCCTTTCTTACCAGTTTTCTTTTTACCAGATCCATCATCCCCACTCCAATTCACTTCAAGCATGGCCATGATCCGATCCAATAAGCCATGAATGACTTCAAACCCAGCTTTTTTACCTACAAAGGCAGCACCTAACCTTCTTACGTTTTTGGCCTTACGTTCTAATGTATCATCTTTCAAGACTATATCAGAGACTTCAAAGATCCTGATCGGTAATGCTTCTTTTCGATTCTCTTTGATCGTTTTTAATAATCCTGGTAATAATGAAGTTCGTACTACTTGAAATTCAATGGTAGCTGGGTTTGAAAGTACAACTGCTTTTGTTTTATCATCAGGTCTACGTAAGAAAGCAAAATTTTCATCGTGCGAACACTAATCATGAAACAAAAAAAGAAACAATCGAGATAAGTAAATTGATGTGATGACAATCATCTTCATCTTGTTCCTTTCAAGCTGTAATTAAGAAAACAAGGAATCACAAACCAAAGTGAGAGGTAAAACCTCAAGCCATCCAGCAAATGCGCATTCTTTTCGAACAAGGTCAGAAAGCTTATTAATCTCATACGGTTTTCCAACCGTATTCGTACTTGGAAAAGTTTGTTGAAGGTTATTGAAACCATAAGAAATGGCTACGTCTTCTACCAAATCACACTCGTGAAGAATATCAGGTCGGGTTGGAGGAACCTGAACGATGATTAAATCTGATAAAGGTGCATTAGAAATTTGTTCGGATGTGGAAGTGTTGATGGCTTTGGTGAGATCGGTTTTTGATACACATGATGAAGCATTGTGTCCCATTTTGGCTAGTAGTTTACATGAATCTTCAGGACTGAGTTTTAAGCCTGTGACAGAGTTAATATAGGATTGACGGATGGCAAAGGTCTGAGGGTCGATTTTTGGTGACTGATAGGATGATGCCAAGTCATGTTCGTAAACAACCTCTACTGGCTCAACTCTTTTATATTCATACGACGCAACATTATCACAAAAGGAGTGAGCCTCGGGTATATTCTCTTGTGAATAGTCAAGATCTTGAGTTCAGATGGAATAGAGCAAAGACCTACGTGAATGGATCAGAACAGTATTGAGAGAACATTGTGATGATGACATTGATCACAATATCAAGTTTAGTTTGATCGGTAGCTGTCACATCGATAAAGACATCCTGAGTGTCAAGAGTAATTTTGGTGCGATTAGAGTTGATTCTGTGGTCATCGTCAAGATGGGACATTGCATTAGGGTCTCGTGTCAAATGCTAGGATGGAAAGGAAAAAAAAATGTCTGACATGGGTGGCATCGAAAGGACAGTACGAGAGTTATCATATATGATCGGATACACGGGGTAGTCCCTGATGATATGCAGGTATTTTGAGAGATGTTTATCGGACTGGATGATACGAATCCATTTAACTCAGCTGAAAGAAGCCATCAAAATGACGAAAAAAAGAAAGTCTTACCTCATAAAGTGTCATCATCTCCGTAGCATCGTATTCCTTTTCTTTATTCAAAGGTGCGAACTTGATATCGGTAGGTGGAAGCGCTTCATAAGTGATCACTTTCTTAGAGTGGTCAATCTTTTGAAGGTCATGAGTTCCGATCGCAACTAATGTCCTCTTCCTACACAGATTACCATGTAGTTTATCTTGTAAATCGATAAAATCTTTATATCTTTGATCGTCGAATTTGATACCTCTCAGGATAGCCGAAGCGAAAAAAGGACGGATCTGACTGGTTTCCTTCCTAACGATAACCTTCCATTGATTCTCAGGTTTTGGTACCACTAACTTGAAACTTGGAGGAGGAGAGGTTCCGATATAAGTTCGAAGTGATAAGACAAGTCCTTGATGACAAAGTAGATCGTATCGATTGGCCGGCACTTCGATCTTTAACTTGTATGGTTTCTCATCGGGTGTAGTTAAAGATGTCTATAGATTTTGGTTTGGCGATCGTGAATGAGTGTGTGAATCAAATTGAAATAGTTCCCTCGATTCAATTCACTGACATCTTCGTCTAGTTCCAATCCATAGTCAAATAGCATATCATCAAATTCCTGATGAGCTACCAAAACAATTCAAGATGATGTTGATCTCGTCAGGACCATTCAAATTCTACATGAACAGCTAAAAGAATGATGATCAACTGACTGAATTTTTTTCCCAACTCATTCAAGAACCTATCTTTTTCCACGGCAATTGTTGGCATCTTGAAATTGAGTGAGTTTTAGAGTATCGTCTTTTTTGAATTTGAATTTGAATTTGCTAGGCTGATAATTTTCAATCGGTTCCACATGTGACATATCTCATCTCAGATTCCGGATACTGTCAACAGGTCGGGACGGGACCCGGACCGTTGATACAGGATCAGTTTTCTGGGAAGACCGGAGCAAGCGCAAGGTCGATTTGCAAATTGGATTTAGAAGCCAAAGAAAGCCGATATGTGCACTCATTCGCGTTCCCCTTCATTGATATAATATTCTTCAGCGCGTGTATCGAGCCAAAGAAAAAACACCCAAGGTTTTTGTGTAAGGCAGCTCTCGTTACCTATCAGCTACATAAATGATTGTTGCAGCGATTCTAAGAAATCAAGATCCCCCGCTTCATACATAATTCTGTTTGTCCGTAGTCCATCACCACTGATCGACGAGTTATTTGGTCTGTGTTTGTTTTTGAAATATCGGCGGATATCGATCGACGTGGACGGGTTGAATAGGGCTGAATTGTCGTCATACGCACTACGGTCGATAATCAAAGAAGACACCACCCCATTGATCTCAAAGCACACACATACAATATGTCTTGCAACGGAAGGACTACCGATGACTCGTTGGTCCATGTATGCATAGACGGACAAGGGTTCTAATCGGCATGATCAAAACTTAAGTGATCGATCACAGAAAGGACAATGTTGGACGGCTCTATATGCACCACAACTCGGAAGAGCTTCTCTATGTTCAAACATCTGAGACTGTGCATAGTCCGACCGTCCAAGGTGAGCAACACAGCTTAGTGTGGAGTGGATAGAAGTGGATGCAGCCGCGGTTCCGGGATACATACTAGTGGGCCGGCTTTTCATCAGCTCTCATGGTCTTGTTCCTCAAAATTCGTCAGAAATATGGACCAGACTCACTCAGGGTGCACAGTCTGCACTCTGCACGTGTACTCCTGACAAGACATGCGGGTTTATATGGTTTGTACTTTTTGTACTTTTAGATCTGTTGTCAATTCTACAAGCCAACTGGTGTTGTGAAGGAATAAATTCAAAGCATGCATCTCGATTACGTTCTCCAATACGGCCGGTATGAATCAATTAAGTGGAGGATGTGAATTGAGCTATACTCGATAGTATCTCCTACCAATCTACCTTGCTCTACTTAATCCCACTTGTCCGACACTGCCTTTTCAAGTCAAGAGCTCGCTTCAGATATTCCTGAATCCATGCCAATTTTGCTTTCTTCTCACACTCTCAGTCAAAAGCCATTCAATCAAATCGAAGTTTTCATGGGTGAGGGGATGCGCGCTTCGATGGTGTATCCATCTCCTATGATCGATGGCCCTAAACTCGGGATGCTGGTAGTGTGTGTGGGTGGCGCTTGTTCGGTGATTTAGTTTAACTGGCCTCTTGATTGTGAATCTGCTTTCCCACCTTTGAAGGCGGCGACATCGTGATAAATCTTTCTTGACTACACACAAACCTGTACCGTATTCTTAAATACACATTCGGTGATCTGCATATCTCTCTAGTTCTACGGCTTACCTACCCAGTCCCAGTGCGAGTGAATGAATTGATAACCCACTGGTCTCAGTTTCTTTGAGCTTTTCTTCAAGAATCCCCCAATTCCCTTTTTGCTTTCTCAAATGCTTGAAGTTGTAGCCAAGAGAACTCACTTCATTCGCTTCTCAACCGGCTCAAATCCACTATAATCATCTTCTATTTACCCATTAACCGAATCTTAAAAAGTTCTTTGTTTGATCTCCCTTTATCCTTAATCTTCCCTTTCTTGCCCTTCATTTATTACTCATTACATTTAATTTATGAACAAGATCCGAAGCCCCCCGACTTACAGAATACATACTCAAAGAAGAGCTACAAATACCAACATGTCCATCTCCTCGAGTACAACACCTTTTCATCGGAGTGATGATATTTCCATTCGAAAACTAAGTATCATGAGAAGTTCATCTAATCTAAAACAAGACTCCTTCGAAGCACTTTCGCAGCTTCAGACTTCAACCTTCTATCATCATCGCAGGGTTTGTTAAATATAATACCTCTTATCTCTACCAGATTTTCTCTGTTGAATTCGGATTTATTGACCCTATGATCGTCATCCAGTTCGCCAATCCTGCTCCGTTGGGTCTATCTGGTCGGTTTCTCCACAAAGCTACTCTTGATTTGATCAATACCTGATGATGATCTTCGTCAAATTCGAAATCAATCAATCTCACACATATTCTAATCTTTTTTTATCTTTTCTGCTTCATTCTCAATCTTTCAGCTTTTGCGGCTACGACGTTTTTGCTATCCTTATTTAACCTTCAAAGTCGCGGGATCACGACTCCCAACTTGATCGTCGGTATAGCTTTGAGCTATGGTCCGTCCGTTTTTCAGGAATTCATTCAAGGTTCTTCAGTTTGCATACTCATTTTGAAATACATTTTGCGCTCTCATTAGGTGGTCTAGTACAGTTGTTGGCTGGTATGTGGGAATTTGCGGCTGGTAAGTGTTGTCAAACGATCAGAAGTGTAGGCGCCAGTAACAGGGAGGCCCAGAAAGTGCTTGCAACGGCGACAAAATCATCTCAGGTTAACTGACTGATTTTTGGTTATCGTTTGGCTGTGGACAGGTAATACTTTTGGCGCCACTGCTTTCTCCTCATACGGTGAGTTATCTGTTCAAATAGATGTTCTTCTGTCTTATAACTTACGCGAGTATGACTCTTTTCATGACATTGCTCGTGGAATGTAGGCGGGTTTTGGATCAGGTATTACCTAAATCCCTCTTCAGGATTTCTAAATCATGACATACCTAGCACGAAAGGCCGACCTACTCATCTCTTTTCAATTGTGTCTTTAGCTTTGGTTTAATCTTCTGGCCGAGCTCAGGTATTCTTTCCTCATACACTGGACACGCCGCTGCTCAACTTGATCAGGCACTTGGTTTATATCTTATGACATGGGTTAGTATCTTTGATCTTAGATTAACATAAGTTGAAAGTCTAGAAGAAGCCATATTTCAATTATTGACGATTCAAACCTTTTCTCAGTTCATATTTACAGTCAGTCTCTGAGCTATTTACTGGCCACTTCTTCATTTGATCCAACTTCGCATCACTTTACGTCTTGTGAAAAGCAACGCGAGCTGACGGTTGCATATATCTGCGATGCAAATTTCGTTAGTTTATCTTACTCGTCGCCTCTCTGCGCTCCTCGGTAGCACTTGTGGCACTGTTTTTCTGCCTTGATGTTACTTTCCTTTTACTTGGTGTAAGTTCACTTTTATTGTATGTCAAACTAGCTAAAATTTATTGATATTGATATTATCTTTCTATAGTTGGGAAAGTTTTATCCTACCGTAACCATCTTCACCAAAATCGGTGCAATCTTTGGTGAGTCGTGATCTCGTTGTGCTCCACAAGGTAGACTTCAGCCTGATGAACGATATCTCATCTTATCTTTACGGGTATCATTCATAAGGACTCGTCACTTCTGGGTGAGTGTCATTTCCACTTAGATAGCTCATGGAGAATCCAGAACTGACTCGATGGATCAAATGTTGCTATGCAGTATCGGGTGGTATAGTGCAGCTGCCAGCTTACTCACATCGGAGACCAGCTACTTTTCTTTACCGATCATTGATTTGAGGTAAGAAATAGCTCTTGAATTTCAGTATGATGTATGAAACAAAACCTGACGCATCTTCTATCGCATCCCAAAACCTACGTGTCTTTCAGTCCATCTAGCCTCCAAAGGGACTAAAGCTCCGAACTTTCGATCGAATATACGAAGGTCTCGAATATGGACTTTTTTCATTCCCATGTTTATTTTTCATATATGTGGCTAAACTAGTCTTGCTTCTTTCTTACCCTATGAATTTGGACACCATCTTTATCATCTAGTTCTTTTTATTATCTTGTGCGGATCCTGGAATGGGATCCTTGTATGTACACAATTTTTATTGATTTTAGTATATACTTTCATTTTTTCACTTCTTTTTCTACGCGTGCGTGAAATATATATATAAGATACCAGTACAAGTGTAGGATGCATGGTGTCTGTTATTTGTGTTTTGTGATTTCAAAAAGTAATCAGCGGACATGTCGAATTGTTCAGAAATATCTCTACTACTGCACCAAGGGTTCATTGGACTTGATAACTAGATAGAGACTCTTGGCAAGTGGGGTCAAATTCAAAGTATTTCTTCTCACCAGTGGACATCTACCAGAAATCATGCAAGATTAAGAACCAGCTTCAGTTCAGAGAGTTGAGATAATTATTACCCACATCAAGATATCTTCTTTCAAACAATAAATAAACAAGTCATTTTTAAAAAAAACTACCAATCATGTAAACCTATCCCATTCACATCTCTTTCTTCTGATTCTGCTTTCCAAAGATAACCTATCCAAAACTTATTTAGAAAGAAAAACAAATTTAACAAAGAAACACATAAGACACACATTTACAAATTAGAAACATAAAACACAACACAACAAAAACACTAAACTCATCTTTTTTGGGGGGAATAGGAGAGATACAACTTAAGTAAAATTTATAACAGTCTACACACACACACATATTAAATATGAATCAACTCTTCATTTTTTCTTTGGAAATCAACATCTTTTAACATGGAAATACAATTGGTTTTTTCCCCTCATTAAAAGATTCTTTATTAAACATTTGATTTAAAATACCTTCAGGTCCATCTCTTCAAGAAAAAAAGCCTTCAAAAAAACACATCCTTCCTTCTTTTCACCCTTCACAAGAAACACAGACTTTCAATAATTAAGAGAAATCAAAACAAATCAAAACTTATTCACGTTCCCAATCAAGTCTTCTACGTAATCTACCACCTAATTCACCTAAAACGAAGAAATGTTGAGGTGTAGCAAAACTACTACGATCATTATTCCCACTTACATCTTTTGAAAGATAATCAGTTAAAGTATCTAATGCTTCTAAAGCTTTTTGTATAGACTGTTTTCTTTCTAAGCTTTCTGGACTGATCATTTCTTGTTTTGATGGTGGTGTTTCTTGATTGGTGATACTATTGGATCTATCTCTTTTATGCTGTGGTTGGTTATCAGAACTAGATAGTGTTGGTCCGCGTACTTTTTTGCGTCGTTTGAGTCGAGTTTGGTTCTTGGACTGTTTAATCGGTGTCAAATTCTGGGATGGATCAGGCTTGGTTGTTTCATCAAAATGGGTCGGCTCGACTGAAGTACAGGTCTTGGGAGCCAAAGGTTTAGTGAGCGTTGTAACTGAACGCTCGTCTTGTGCTTGTTCTACCGTTGATCCAGATACCTGTGAGATATTCAAGCCTGGTGCGATCTCGTCAAGAGGTACAGCAGTCGTTGAAGGACATGTAGCGTAGCTGCTAGGGATTTGTTGATGAATTAGGATCGTTGATGGTGCACTGAAAGATTTTTCATTCGTGCCTGAACGAGATCGTTTCTTGTGGGTATCGATGATGGGTAATGGTTCCTGAGTAGGGCTATAGGTTTGATTGATGTTACAGAAAAAGTTTGTTGAAGGACCAAGAGGAAGAGGTAAGACTTCTGTACTTGTTGAAGAATGTTTGGCATGAGGCGGTGAAGAAGACGGGCAACTGGGAGGTTCAAGTAATTCACAAGATGACATTGAGGTTTCAATTATATGAAGTTCGTTGAGACTGCTCTCATCGGTGCTTGATGAAAAGGACGTATCGGCTGATGGACAAGTTTGATGAGTTGAAGGTTCTTCGCGTGAGGACTTCAAGCGTTTTGATCTTGTAGTGTCACAGGGTTGATTGGGTTCCATGTAATGAGCTGGTATCGATGGTATCTGCTGAGGGTTTGTGACCTGCGGGCAGGCAATGGTCTTTTTGTTAGATGGGATAATTGGCTGTGGTTGTTGAATTTCGAACGGGTCGGGGATCATCATAGAGGTAGGATCACGCGGAAAATAATTCGGGACTTGATTCCAATAGTACTGCTGTGAATATGCGTGATCGTTCAATTGCGTCATATCGTGTGCTTGAGATATAGAAGGGGGTGAAAGTAATGGTACTCGTGGGTCGTATTGAACCATGCCGTCATAATGGATGCCAACTTGATTGGTGTTTGAGATAGGGGTCCTGAAATCGCGATCATTATCCATACGTCGGCGCATATGATCGAGAGAGAGTTGATGATTGTTAGATAGGTGATAATCTAATCCAGATGAAATTATCCTTTGTTCATCGTTATTATGATGATCAGGTCCATTTTGGTATTGTGAGTTCGAAATAGCTGAAGTATTATACATTGTAGGGCCAAGTGGAAACATAGGGGCAAAGAATGCCTCATCCATAGAGGTATCTGCTTCATGCATCTCGCGATTTGTTGGAGATTGGTAAATTTGAAATTGATCAGGATTCGTGATATTTTCATTTGTGCGGTTGGAATTTTGTTGATCATGTCTGATGGCTTGTTCCATGATGGAAAGATAATTTATCCTGTAGTTAAGAACCATCGACACGAGTTTTGTAAGTTTGAGTTTGTTCACAGCAATTTGATAAGAACTGAATACCTTTAATTGCTCAAGGAACAATGAAAACCAAGATCTTGGGACCGGTGAGGTGATAGGTCGATCTAGGTGGATAAGTTCAGGTATATCCCGGTCAGATGATCATCACAGGGTGTGAGTTCAGAATGCACTTCGATATTCTGCATGCTGAGCGGGGAAACGCGTTTGAAATGCAGGATTGTGAAATGAAACTCACTTTTTATACTTTTGTTCCCTGGTGAAAATGAAGAGGGAACCGCTGTGAATACTTTATTGAAATCTTCAAGTGAGGGTTTGATTTCTAGCTTGACGAGTTTTCCTGACCTGATATGGTGTTGCTATGCTGACAGTATTTGCTCCTCAGGACACGAATTTCGAACTGTATACAAGGGAAAAAGCTGAGAAACACGTAAAGATGATGAAGTTGGGTGGGATTCGGTGGTATGACTGTGTCGTTTTTCTGGCGTGATAAAAGAACTGGACGAGACTCAAAAGGCTAGAGGTTGAGACTAAGGGTTGAAAAGTCTGTGGTATCGAGAGGAAAGGAATCGTGTAAGATCTATACACCACACGAATAATTCATGATAGTTCTTTAGGTATTCGTGGGTAAGCTTTTTCTCATAAGTCTTGACAGAAATTCTATAGAACGCGGTGGAATTGTCTGCTGTTAAGAAAGATAATAATTTATCGACGTGATAGGTCGTGGACAGTAAGACAATTGTTGGAGTCTATATGATGATGGATCTAAGCTGGCATACAAATATTCAGCGAAAGCGCTTAGCGTTGACCGAATAGGGAGTCGTAAAAAGTGGGAATGAGTTTCTGTAGTCAAAATGTAGAAGGAAGAGACTATCATCAGTAGGGGTTCAGCTTTGAGATTTTGTTTCTGGTTGAGTATGCTGTCACACCTTGATGGATCGTGAAATAGGTGGCATAGAATTCAGTTTGATAAAGTGTGCTCATAAAACAAATAGACTGGAATGAATCGATATTCGTTGACTCGTGCTCCTGTACTCTAGAGCTTTGTCGTCACGTCGCGTTTCGTTACAAGCAGGGTAGAGATTTGACCGCAAGTTGAGAGTGCAAGATGAACTGTATAAGGGTATCAAGGTAAGAGGCTAATCAGCAAAGGTAATTGTGGTGGTCATTGATTCGAAAAGGGAGAATGAGAGAATGCTAAACATAATGAAGTGTGTATTGTACCTTCTCGTCTAACTTTCTTACCTGCTCGAGTCAAAGAGATTGGCAAGCGGGAGGGAAGAAAGCAAAACAGAGGAAATCTGATATGGGAGTCGAGTTTGGGAAGGATAGAATATATAAATTGATTGGGGTAGGAAATATGTAGAATTGGGATTGGGAAGGTTCGATTCTCAGACTTGAATTCTCAAATGTTGCTCTTCTCGAACGCGTCTAAGAGCTATCCAGAGGATTGTAGTTTGTATCTCAACTCGATCATTATCAACCAACCAACCAACCGGGTGAGTGGGTGGGTGAAGCTTCAACCAAACAAAACTGTCCGCATTACAGTCTGAGGGCAGATGGGCGGATGTGTGAGATGCGATTATGAGCCAAGCAAAGCTAGTTGTCAGCTTATGCTACCTGATTTCTTTAAACTCTGCATCTCAGCTTGGATCAGCTGGAGAATTTCTTTGCTTAGAGCTTTCTGACTGGAATTCCTCACATGGAATCTGAAGAAATACAGTCAGATATTCAAACATCATCGAACTTAACTTCACCCCAACTCTTCTTCTGACAAACAAATATCCCTGGCATCTGGTATGTTGTAGTAGTGCTCTGGCTCTAGCAGCAAGGGTGTGTCGAAGAAGCTGGACAGGATCTTCTTCAATCTGTCTTCCTTACAGGTCTCTAGAATACTTCCAGGGGGCTTGGGTTGTAGTGTACAATGCTATCGATCCTTTAGGAGAGTAGGATTATAACCGCCGACTGTGAGTTGTTTTTTAGGAGGATAACGGTAGGATGAAAGGATACCCGAGAAAGCACCATTGAGCAGATGGTATGATAGCGTAGGAGGTCATCAGCTGGAAACGGTGCATCGATTTATTTGGATTTTGAACAAGCAAAGCTTTTGAAACCACTCAAGTAACAATGGAAGCAATACGTTAAGTCGGTCGGCAATGGCATTAATCACACACAACCTCCCTAGAAACTCAAAAGGGGGAATGAAGCATGCACCCTTCGCTGATTAGCTCGGCACCCCTGCCAGTGGGATTTGATGCATACAAGTTCAACCTGTCAACTTGCTCCTCCTGATCTCAGTTCAATCTCGTCCAAATCGACTCATCCGCAACATGAAAGATACATTGATTCATCTCAAGTTGAAGTGAAAGGCTTTCTTGACCTGCGCAAGCAGCTTGTATGCGTTGACGGCTGCAGAGAGAAAGGTAAGAAACGAGGCGCATGAAGACTGAGGCGGAGACAGGGGAACTTTGATGATGACGATTAACCGACGGTCGGAATGGGGCAGATTCAAGTTTACAACATCTTCTAGGTCAATTCAAGAGAAACTATGTTGTATCGATCAAAAGATGTTAAATATATGTAAAAACAAACACATCATCATGATCAAGAACTTATGGTGTAACTCTCCTTGCACAAGTCAACCAAACTGTTACTGACCAAACATTCAATTTTAACCTCTTCATCGGGTGCTTCTCTTCTCGCTTCATGAAGCAGCATTGAACCTGAGCACATAGGAACAACCGAAGAAGTACATAAGTTAAACACCGGTGCTAAAGTTCATTGTTTGTTTTGGGGACAAATTTCACCAACTCACATCGTTCAACCAACGTCAGTTCTTCTCTTGCTAGGAGGTGTTTTGCTCGTTACTAACATAACCTCTTGGTAATCAAAATCATAGAGATTCGCCCGTTCTCGCCAGGTTGAATCCATGGGCTCTATATATAGGGAGTACCATTTTATTCACATTTTCTTCATGTACATTGTTGCGTTTTTCTGTCGAGCAAGCTACTGGGATCAAGGTCTGCCTGGCCTGCTCTGACTTTCTGAACAAAAATTGAATTCTTGGGTCAGACCTGCAGCTTTGATAGTTCATCTAAAAAATAGCAAGGCCATTCCTGGTAATCGATCAATGAATCCAGCTGGAAAAGCCATAAACATCATTTTATGAATCTGGAAGCTCAAAGACGGCTACAATGAAATAACAGAGGTTATATTACTCGCATGTACCAAGCTTGAGGTGAAAACTTTCATCTTCTGCTTTCCTCTGAGTCTTATCAAATAGCTTTGAACTCAGCTATTTCAACTTCTCATCATTCAACATTATCAAATCGAGATGACTCCATCCAAAGAGAATATTATCTCATTTTAATGGTACATATCATACAATGTTTTAGCAAATCAATCACTCGTGTTTTCTTTCTCTTATCAAATAGATTTGTCATCATTTCATTCCTCTTTGTTTCTTTTGCTTTCTGTTATGTAGTTTGTAAAGACAAGTGGAATCCAAGGAATCGAGTCGATATTCTGTAGTACCTGAAGTAATATATAAAGGATGAAATAGTCACCAGAGATTTGGAGGAAGTGCTCAGAGCTTAAGTTTTTTCTGCTGGCTAGTGAGATCAGATTTCTTCTGCTTTCATATAATACTATTTTTCGTGACCATATTATAAAAGAAGGCGCGTGTTCTTCGGCGAGATTGAGTGATTGCAGTCATACTTGGTCAACTTACCAGCAATCTTCGTTTGCAGATGAACATAATCCTTCATTGTCAGTCTGGATCTTTGTCACTGCTCTCAGCTTCATTGAATGGCAGGTCTTCAGTATGTGGAATGAGTTTCCAATTTTTCAATTGTCGCGAGTGATGTGACAAATAGGTGAGGGGGAACTGCAGGCATCTGCTCTTTGCTAGCTTTGGCCTCAGCTTCCCTTTTCCTGTGTACGGGGTTAATTTTCTGGACTTTGGGAAGCGCAATCGCCAATGAAGGCGCTATCTAATCGTAGGTATGATGGTATCCATCCCTCGGGCCACATCCTCACCTAACTTATGATAACGGTGAGCTTTTGAACACAATGTGCTTGCTTTCTTGACTTACAAGCAATTTTTCACTAGCCTGCAATATTTGCTTTATAGTGCCGTTGATGTAGCTTTATTGGGAGTTTATTAAGTGAAATTTAATATATATATAGGCGCTACTTGAGGTCTTGAAGGGATGCAAGAGGAGCGTAGCAAGTTATAAAAAAGTCAGAGTCCAGACTGCCATCGTGAAGGAGGATTTCCATGCTTGAACAGTTTACGGCATGTTAGGTGTTAGGGTATTGTACAAAGTCCAAAACCTCCTTAAGATTCATGGTTTTGTCGCCTTCGTCTTCTCCCACTTTCGAAAAATTTCCACATCTCTGGAACTTTACAATCTCAAAACATCATTTGGAAAGCAGTCACCTTGATTCCCCAACAAACTTAGGCAAACTAAGGCTTTCAAAATGGTCCGAGAGGTCGAGGCTTCAATTCCAGAGCGTGAATTTTTATTGGATGCGCTTCGAGAGGGCCTTCGCTTGGACGGAAGGGCTACGTTTGAACAACGTCCCATCTCTCTATTGATATCAGAGGATGGGGATTCTGTGGAATGTTCTCTGGGTCGGACTAGGTGGGTGAGTCTTCTTTATCCTCTTCTTATGTAGGTTGATTGATGTACTCTCTTGTTGACCTCATGCTTGCCGTCGTTCTCCACAGAGTCTCTGCTCATGTATCAGCTACCATAACAAGGCCGAGACCAGATAGACCTTTCGAAGGCCTTCTTCAAGTTTCTGCAGAAATCAATCCTCTAGCTAGCTTCGTTTACGAGATCGGTAGGTGGGTCAATTACGTCTCACCCTTCCAAAATATCACCTTTCGGAATATCTGCTCCATTAATTTGACGACATATGCGCTCGGAAATATAGGTCGCGCGTCAGAAGACGAAGTTCACCTCTCTCGCTTACTGGACAAAACATTGGTCCGAAGTGGCGTGATTGATCGAGAAGCTCTGTGTATTCTCGCGGGTCAGAAGGTGGGTTGACCGGTGTCTGATGCAAAAGGTGTACCGCCAAGACGACTGATCCACAACTGTTTGTTTATCGCTCGTGAAGGTATGGTGTATCAGAGTTGACCTTCATTTTCTAAATGACGAGGGCAATATGCTAGATTGTGCATCGGTCGCAGCTATTGCTGCTCTTCAGAATTTTCGACGGCCAGATATCACATTGGTCGGCGAAGAAATCACAGTGGTCAGTATTCACTTTGGTTCATTAGTCGTGAAGCTCATCCTGACGTGTTCTTACGGCTGATTCTTTCGGCATTGACATCATCTGTTTGAATTCCGCAGCACTCCTTCGATGAGCGTCTACCTATCCCATTGACACTGCATCATCTACCCATATGTCTCACCTTCGCATTCTTCGAGCTACCAGCCTCATATATACTGCTCGACCCTTCTCGGCTCGAACAACAACTCTCGACCGGGACTATGACCTTAACTCTGAATGCTCAGCGGGAAATTTGTGTGATCAATAAGTCTGGCGGAATGCCATCTGACGTTGAGGAGATCATGAGAGTGGTCCGGATAGGTAGTCGTAGGGTACAAGAAGTGGATGCACTGATCAAGGAACAAATCTCTAAAAAGCATCCTGCCCTTGGCTTAGCTGCTGTACAAGATCGGTAAGAGACTTGACGTTATCGATGAAGAATGTCATGTAAAACGGAAGTCGAACTGTACAAGATACATTGCATCTGTTCCAAACCTGTTTTGAAGTCAAATCAAGTTGACAGACCCCACCTAGAGGATCCCCCAACCAAAATATACTAATTGCTTCTCGTTGCAAACTGTGTGTGCTATACCACGAATGACTTCAGCATTCTACTACAAACTTGTGCACTGTTGTGAAGCTTGAATGTATCCTCCTCAACACCCCTCTAGCCAAGATAAAATGACAAACCATCAGCATTCAAAAGGTAACCGGAAGGCATTCCAAGACATCCATGTCAAGAAAAGAAGAAAGATTACAGCTCATGTACCAGTTCACTCAAAAATAGGATCCTTGTGAAGCTGTCAATTGTGACCCCCATATTCATCTCTTATTACTATAAAGTAAAACAAAGTCAATGCAGATCTGTTTTATGTACAGGTTTGCTGCATATAATCACTTCATCCAAAAAATGTCAATGTCAAATTGAAACCAAGACTCTGGACAAGAGACCAACTGGAAGTACCTCAGAACCATTGATTGCATTGTCCAGAGAAATCTCAGCAATAATGTACATGTTTGTGAACAAGTGTTTCAAAAAAATTGGATAAGTCTGAGTTGAATGAAACAGGCTTATAAACACAAAACAAGTGAATGTAGAGATGAGAGCCAAGGCTGAAATTTACAGGTTGCTGAGCAAGGGATGTTTAAAGAGTTAACATGAAGGAGAATGATTGTTTGCCTCATGCTCTCACTTAGCAGTGGCATTGTGTGAGTTGTAGTCTTTGAAATACTTGTATCACCGGATAGTGGATGAGCCAATGACCATTCACTGCCAGCTTTAAAGAGATTCCCGGGTGGGAATATGACTCCTGGGAACCAAATTCCCCATTTGTTACGGCTAAATATCTTCATAAGTATCTCCTATGTAGCCATTGTGATATATGTAGTCAATTTTTTTGGGGGTTTGTTGCAATTGTAATGAAGTTACAGAACGTATTACATGTGAATTTCTCAACCGGATGAGCAGGTAGCTGAGTGGAGCTATATGTAGATGATAGCTAAGTATTCACTCAGAGATTTGCACATATGTAACATATGCTTTATTGCTCAGATGGCCACTGCTGGTGGCTTCATGACCCATTCTACTCTCAAAATTGTTCCCAGCCCAGTGCTGATTCCCATCAAGGAACCTCTTTAATGCTGACAGTGATTGGACATTAGGTGAAGAGTGTGGCATCTTGACAGCATCAAAAGTGTTTTGATGCAATGGCAATTTCCAAAGGCAAAGAGTACCAAGGTAGTATTGAAAACTTGTAATGATTGTATAAGAGGAGGCAAATTCTAGATTTTGCCCTGAAATGACAGAGAAAAGATATAACTAAGAGGCAAAGACTTTTTCCAGAATTTCTTCTACCCGCTCCTGAGAATCTTATATTGAAATCAATCAGATTTTATCTTCTTACAGTCAATTTTACAAAGCTTGGAAACTTTTGCCCGCCAAACTTGGGCAAATTGGCACAGAATTCTTTCCAAGCTTTGTGAAATTGACTGTAGATATGGAATATTCTTCAGTATTGCTCAATTGAATTTGAAACATGGAAGGTTTTCTGAAATCCCTCCAAAGTGTAATCCTTATCATCAGAGAATCTGCCCACCAGGACCTATCAAAGCTGCTTCCCATTCTACCTGTAGTTAATCACTGCTGCAGGTAATCATTTCAGACTTTGTCTGTATGTGGAATATTTCTGAACTTGGCCTCTTTGTATAATGAACCGTCAAGTCTGAGTGGTTTTTTTAAGAGTGTTTGCTCTTGGCATTGCTTCCATATTAATGATCCCAAATTCCCTACAGTGTGTGCTCTCCAACAAACCATGCCTCAAGGTCTCAACATTTGCCTCTCTACCTTGAATGTGCAGTGTTGCAATTGAGTTATAATCAGCATGCTCATAAGTAGGATGAGAAACTTCACAGCTAATATCATGATCAAGAAGAGTGCATACAATTTGAAAGGGGAGATGCCCAAAAATATGCTTGATGAAATGTGAAAACAGAATTGAGATATGGAAGATATAAGAACATGAACCAGACTTACATGAGTTCTGTTCCCTAATCTCCCTTATCAAACATGCCTTGGGATAGCACATCATATCAGGTCCTACACACTTTTCAACTTGGCCCTCAAACTTTGGTAATTGCATCTTTTGCTGTGCTTTTAAGCTTTCTTGAATCCACAATGCTGTTCCAATCTCCAATTCAAGCTTGCTTCCAGATATTATTTCCTCCTTTTGTTATACATTTTATTTTCCGGTTTGATGTGCCAGATTTTTCAAATGCAAAATATCATTCAGATTTTTTCTGAAAATGTCTAAAAACACAATCTGATAGTGAAGTCTACAACATGAGAAAACAATAAACAATCTCCTACTATTAGGAAGATGTGTGCTGAACTATTATGAGGTTTAGCAGATATGATAATGATTTAATGATCTCTGGTAGGATCTTACATTATTACTATTCACTCTTATTCCAGCTATCAGTGAATAACTTAAATTCTACGTAACCAAGAGGATTTCTTGTCAGGAATTATTGGTAAGCATATTGACTAGAGTATCTTACCCAACTATTGATAGACACCCTGCCAAAACCTTAGGTGCATTCCAAGCTCTGAAGCCACCTTGGTGGTCTCCCCTGTTTTGCTCCCTTCTGTTCCTTCCGGATTCATTTGTTCTTCAATATTACTTTTCTGCATTGATTGACTTGTTGTTGTTGATCAGTCCAAACCTGGAAGGCCCTAATGCTTTCAAATGCTCATGATTCTATCATCATTGATTGTAGGCTCTTGTGACACACACTGCGAAGATAATGTATTTCTCCAAGGTGAAAAATGATTAGATACAATGCACAAAATGATTAATAATGCAGAATTTATGCAGAATCAATGCAGAATCAATGCAGACTGAATGCATTTTTAATCATCTTGTACATTAAATGTAATCATTTTTCACCTCAGAGAAATACATTATCTTTGCAGTGACAATTATGAAGCCAAAATCATGCCTTATCTACACATTTGCCTGACAACTCAAAGACTATAAGAAGGCTATCAAGAGGCCCTTTCTGTCAGTCACTAATTCAATTCAATCATCATTCTTCATTTATTATATGTTCATTTGTTTTCTTCTCCTACTGCCTTAAAATTCTTGTCTAGTGATTTGTGCCTTTCTGGAGTACTTTCATTGTGACCTCATACAATGATTACTATAAGTGGGCTTCCTCCTCTAAGAGCAAGATTAAAATATTGAAGCTAGAACCCTCAATAGGGCCGCTCAAGAAGAGAACCGTTAGCCACGTGGTCGCTGAGTTGCAATCAGTCTTTTTAGGGTTGCTCAATCCTTAAAAAGCTTGATTGCAAAGTGACAAATGCTCTAAACTTAAGTTTTACAGCTTTGTAAATTCAGGAACAATGTCCCAACCGTTTTTTTTCAGCCTTGTTTTCATTCACGTCTTCTTGTGTTTTTGTGCAGACTTTTTGTTAATGAAAGAGGAAGACCTTGGAAAAAAAAACAAGAAAAAAAGGTCCTTTCCTGACCAAAAATTGTTAGAATCCAGGAACAAAAAAGACAAAGAATGGAAGTAATTTTTTTTTGGCTCAATTGTCCCTGTCTTTTGAAAATTCAGGGACAGGATTTAAAAATTTTAAGGCCAATTATGAGATCACAAAACCGTGAACCACCTCTAAAGGTGGTTCACAACCTTAAAATTTTACTTAAAATTTATGGAGCCCAAACAAAATGTAAATTATAAAAAAGGGCTGCAAAAGCCCTTCTTGAACCACCCTAATGTCTCAGGACCTATAGATGTTTATGAAGTTTTTAGTCTCTAACCTGTAGATTTTTTAACTCTGGTCTTGTCTTGTGATGTGCGCTCAATAATCACAGTCTTAACATAATGTTGAATAGTATAACAATCCACTGACAGCAATTGCTTGGTTGCTTTGCAGATACAAGCAAAGAAGATTGTTGTTTAGACATCATCCTTCAACCATAGTAAACATTACCTGTGGTGAGGATAATCTCCTCAAACTATGAGTAATTGGATTTTAAATATAGAAAACATAATTATCTTCAACAACACTTTAAAAACAAAAGAACAACACTTGCAAGTTCAGAAAATCAAATAGAGCAGATGAGATTTACAAATCATGTTGTCCATTTTTGTTATTAAAATTTCCTATTGTTTGTACACAGTCACTTTTGTTCAGTTTGTTAACAAGTAGCTGAAGTTCTTGATGGAGATTGTGAAACATTTTTAAAATTCACTATGGTAGTGCAGGGAAGGCCAACTTTTGGAACATATGCACAAAAGGGATAATAGATGGCTTTACTGGTGTTGGTACACAGTCCTTTGACATTTGGGCCAATTGTCAATAGGATGTCTATATTGAAATTAGTTAAAAGATAATGGGGACAAAAACAACTGATGAACTGGTTTCAATATCATCTCAAGTTTGCCAGAGAAAGGTTTTAGGTATATTGCATGGGCATTGTTGGGTCTTGTTCATCTTGTGTAATAAGGGCAAAAGCAATGGTGACCAACACTTTGGCTTACTGAAACTTAAGCAATGGATATTGGGACTTAATGGATAACAGTAGTAACTTGGTTGTAGAATGAAGAGATTGGGTGTGTCAAGCTGCTTTACTGCTAAAGGAGCACCACTGATGGAACCAAAATTCTTGTATCCGCATCAAATGTGGAGTTAGATATGTGATGCTTTCTCTAAATAAAAACTACTATCACAAGGTGTGGACCTACATGCACTTTGGTCCATTGCTAGGGAGATATGTTTTTGAAGAAGGCCCTTGGGAAAAGTAATGGCTGGGTCCCAAATACTTTATAAATTTGGGATAAAGAAAGGGTGGGGCAAAGTGCAAACACAATATCCATCTGCAGTTTAATCATTATTATGAGGATAGTT